ATGTCGACATATTTGTAAAGCAAGAGGACATATTTCTGCTTACAGAGCAATAATATAAAGAGCCAAACAACCATCTCGCTGAGTATGCATGCCAAGTTCATCAGTTTGATGTTCATTTGGTCACACTCTCTACTCTTTTCTAGTTGTTGGAAATTTCATGCTTCTTTAAGAACTTCTTGAAGTTATGGGAATTAAAATGTTGTTTTTCTACTCAACAAGATTAGTTGGCATTAAACTTGTTGCACCATGTTCATAAAATTATCAGATTTCAGATGCCACAGATGAGCAGAGTGTTGCGAAAATAATAAAAAGCATCAGCAGAAAAAGGTAAAAGAAAAGTACCTCAATACTCTTCGTTTTAGCTTCAATTTTCGCTTTCCAGCGACACTCCCATGCTTGGATCTTGACTTCTTCGCGTTTGTATCTGAAGAACACAGCATTACATGCAAAAAAACCAAAATAACTAGACACCATCAGGTAGCAATTCATGTGCAACAACACTTGGTTTAAGGTGAAGGCTTGGACTGAGCAATTTTCAGAGCATTCTTTACAAGGATTCTGTCATTTATTCTTCCCACACCATTGCATGAGTTTCTTAGAAGCTCAACGGGTTCTAAAGAAGCTCAATGCCAGACCTTATAAGAGACAATTCTTTAATTGGCACCTATTCATATGAAGAACTCTTTAAATTGCATTTCCAAGGATTGGCTCCATGCTCCCCTTTTTTGCTGGTTTGTGCAAAGAATCAGAAAATTTATTTAGGCCTTGACAAACTATGTGAATCTCAGATGACTCATCTTATGTGTTCAATATACAGAGGAAAATGCAATCTGAAGTGACATATGGACCATTTTATTTACCAGCAAGTGCTTAACAGTCTAAGATGGTGTCTTGCTTGAGGTGCACCTAACAAAGTGAAACTTCATAAGCAACAGTTTAGCGAACCACATTGTATCAGAAACTATACTCTCAACACCATTCTTGCTGGCACCGATATCGGCCTACTAAAGTTTCTTTCCCACGACGTTTGTGCCAAGAAATGGCGGTGTCAGCAATCATCATATTGTTTTTTTAGTATAGATTTGTTCTTAAAGCCTAAAAGAAGCATAAATTTGTAAAAACAAATGATCAGAAATAGCAGAGTGCCAACTCCTCGGCCTCTATAATAACCGTTATTGGTTGGAAGCATCATCATCATTTCTCTCAAAGCAGCAAATGTATAACAAGTTTCAAGCTTAGTACCTGGCCATATGCTTAGTGTTCTCAGCTTCCTCCCATGCTGCAGCACAGGCTTTGTATTCCTTCTCTGTTGGATCAGCAACAAGAGCTTTCGGTGAGGGAGAACATTGTTCTACCTCTTCTTTACTAGCCCAGGAAGCGATGTTCATCTTTCCTAGTTGTATGCCAAGGGCTGCTATTTCTCTTCTTATTTTCAGCCGCATTTCTCTCTCAGTCAATTTATCTTTGCCACCTTTAGTTACAGAATCTTGTTCTGTGTCCTTCATCTCCTCGGTAGACAACTGTGAAGCTACTCCTTGTCTCGGAGTTGATGGCAAAGAAGAAATGGAGCTTCGAGTGGGTGTTATTGATCCAAGTGGAGTAGGTACCGGAGTCATTTCCGTACCTATGTCTCTCATTGACACAGACTGCATAGGTGGAACAACTGCAAGATAGAAGTATTCAGATGTATCTAAACCGATGGAAAAAAAAAGCAGAAAACAAACAACAACTGAAGATGCTGACAAGAAATTCTGCATATCTCATCGATTCTTATTTGGCTGCATGTTGACTTTTCATCCAGTTTAAGAAACTGTCTTTCACATAGTAAAGAGTCTTCTTATGAGGACACTCGTTAAAATTCAGTATTCATACTCATGACAGTGAAAGATTACACTGCAACAATCAGATATAGCAAAAGCTTCAACAATCTTAAAGGCGAAATTGTTGCATTCGACATATCCAATGAGCATACCTGTCGGTTCGCTGGCAAGCCTTTTCATTATTGAAAACTCTTGATGATTTACTTCTTCTCCAGATCTGGAACAGCTCCCAGAAGTACCACTATAAGGTGAAGAATCGACAGATTCAACAGCTTTGTTGTTCGACGCATGAGGAACAAAAGAGAACTTCTCTACCACATCCTGTGAAGCAGTTTGGTTGAATTCATTCCTCATGCTATCCAGAGCCTGGACAACTGACGCCTTATGTTCTGCAATTGTGGAATCCGTCTCAAGCCTGCACAAAGAACTTGTTTGATAGCTCCCCTGTTTCTGTGCAGGAGTCTTCTTCTTGACACTTGGGCTTGCTATTTGTCGATTTATTATCCATTTTTCCGCATCATTCCACTTTGATGGAACATGCCCAGAAAAGAGGCCTAGAGATGGCTGTTGAATTATTCTCTCGACGCGATGAAATTCAAAGCTAGAGACAGTGTCATTCCTGCTGTGGAGACAGTTGCCACCCCCTTCATCAATAGTCCTTACTGGGTGTATGATGCTCAAGCTGCTGTTTGAATAAGCTTGATGGGGAGCACTTCTGCAGTAATCCTGCTTGATACAACTGGTGTTAATCTTTTCGTTTGACAGCGATCGATTAACGCTATCGAAACTTGAAGACTCTTTATCATGTAACCCTGTGGCAGAAGCATCTGAATTTGCAATATTCTCAGGTCTTAAATCCCCTTTAAAGTCCTTAGAGCTTTCTGTCATCAAGATCAAAAGCATCATCATCGACATTGAGACAACTTCAAGATATGTATGTGTGCATGATATACATAAGTAGCAATCATACAAAGATGAATACTGAAGGAGGTAATTTTCACTGACCTTCGGTGTCGATATCGCCTACTAGTAAGTTGTTCCTTGCAGACTTCATGTCCTCATTCTTGGATGGAGGCATCTTTGCCGAATTGCTCCCTCCCTTTCTTGCGCTGTTACGAGGCCCAAGTAGTTTCATCCTCAATTTAGTTGGAGAAAGCAATCCAATCTGCAGTCGTAAGAGAAGGCTACAATTCAAGCTTCTGTCTTCAGAAAACGAAGAACTAGATGCTTGACATAATGCAACAACGTAAATTTCACAGATATCCCCCACTGTAAGCAATCAGTAAGATGTAAAGGAAGCATCCCGTTTTAAGATCTTGTGAGGAGATACTTCTCTTGCAGCTTGTTGCTGTTGCCGAGCATTTGTTGTCATAGCATATATGGAAAAAATAGCTCGAATTAATCAAAGTTAACATGCTATTAACATTGTTGTGATGAAAATTGTAAGCAACATCATTAAGAGCAGTACACGAAGATTACAAGAAATCATAAGAGAAATAGTCTGCAAGGAAAAAAGAAAGAAAATCCTACAATCCAACAACCAAAAGCACGCAAAGCAACCAAGAACCATTCGAGATAAGATTTATATAATACTCGCCTTCGGTTCACGAACATAACAAAAGCTATGTATCGAAATCAAGCCCATCGGAGTTTGAACAAAATCTACATATAACCTGCCAATTGATTGCAGAAAAATATATACAAAATCCACTGCAAATGATCACGAAACTAACATTTCTCACACTGCACATTTTATGGGGGAAGAACGAATCAATCTAATAGTAACATCCACATAATGAACACAAAAACAAATCAAGACAACGGGAAAACGCAAAAGCTGTGAACTTTGAGAAGAAGAAGAACGAAAGCTTCGATCTTGAGCAATAGTTCGTATGACGCGGGCGGCAGAGTTCGTACCTGCACTTTGCGAATCCTCTCATACTCCATGGCCGTGCAGCGAGAAAGACAGAGCGAGCGAGCAATGAGGCTGTGTTCTATGTAGGCCGGCAGGGGTGCCAAGCGAGTCCGAGAGTCGGCGATGTTTTCAAATCCTCGCGAGTTATTTCCAGGCACCTCGTGCGTTGGACCTGACACGCACGCGTCCCGCGTGTCTTGGCCGAGCGTTGAAACGCAGAACTGCCGTTGTCAAAGAAACCGGCAGGCGGGGCCTCCAGTGGGCCCGACGCAGCTGACCATTGGAATACTACGCTTTCGTGGTTGGAAGCTCGGCCGAGACACTCTGGCCGCTCCACTTCACCTTCTTCGTTTCTGCCTCGCCTTGGTAGTTGCACGAGTCGTGTCCGTTGGGGAAGCGGACGAGACATGTCACGCTTTCCTCCCTCCCCATTACTTTTGCTCTGCCGGCGTCATCCTCTTCGTTGCCTCTGGCCATCACCACCGTTGATCATCCATCATCCGTAACTCTACCATCAGCATTTAAAACATGTAGCTGCCGGCCAATGAGAACACGCCTCCTCCTGCCATTCCCTTCTTCGCAGGTCGGTGACTCGGGCCCAACTCAGTGTTGTCCACACATTTGATCCAGGGCGACCGCGAGTCAAAGCCATTGAAGTCCTCCGGTCCCGCAATTGATCGCGCCGGGATCCACACTCCGTCGACGGTTTGGCGCAAACGCGGTCAAACGATTCACACCCGAGCCGACTCACCCGAACGCGAGCCGCTACCCCGATTCCTCGCCGAGTCTTACCGAGTACGACTCCGCTTCGGGCCTCTCAAACCTTCCCCTTTATAATGTGGTCAAACGTGCTTCCCAACACCAAAAAGCCACCCCTCCCCGTTCCTGTTTCAGAGCACGCGACAGTCCGTGTCAGGCTCCGGCACCGGCAACTCACACGGATACATGTGATAAGGTTTAGACTCATCATTGGCACGTGGCCCTTTGTTCTCGGCGTCACCAACATGGTAACATGGGTCAATCATCTCACTAATTAGACCGGGTGGGCCGAACTGGCTCACCATGGGCCGGCCCACGAGATGCCGCTCGACCCGGCTCATTAAATTTGAATTCGAAAAATAATAGAAATAATTTGAAATATTCCTAAATATATATATAAATTACATACCTTCTTTTTCCATCTTCCCGTCTCCCGCTTTCTTCCATGCGGCGAGCAACACCGGCGGCGGCGGAGACGAGCGTTCGGAGCCCACAAAGAGAGCTCAATCTCTTCATCGCCTAGTATGTGTTTGCTTCCCCAACTCTTTAATGTACTTTTCTTCACTTATGAGTTGTTGAAGTGGGACGACGCTTTAATGGTGGAGACAATTAGGTACTCCCAAGTCTCCTATTTTCTACAAGCATTTAGCCTATTTCCCGAGGAACGATCGCCAGAGAGAAGAATTCGAGGAAGTAATATGGATGGAGAGGAAGATCTGGTTTAGGGTTAGGGTTTCCAGTTGGATGTGTGGCCGGGTCGGACGAACACGCCAAACCCGCCAAAATCAACAACTCCAAATTGGATTCACTTTCTTGATGTCAGTGGCAGTTCATTTCATTTCATTGTGCTAATTAAGAGCGATATATTGGATTAAATATAACACATGTCGTTCTAATTATCTATATCATAGTTAGATTAACCATTTTTAGTTATGATTATTATTTAATCAACTTTGAGAATTAATATTAACGGGTAATTTTATGATATTTTTCTTTTTAGTTTTTTTGAGGGTGATGCCTCCCATTTTTATTTTTCACATTTGATACACATATATATTTTTTTCTAATATCATAAATATTCTTCATCATCGTTCATTGCATTTATCTAATCGCAATATCAGACTTAAGATAGTTTTATTAAAATCGTATGGCTTGTGTGTAAATGATCTCCTGACCTTAAAAAAGAGATGGATTAAAGAAATTATTTAATTCAGAATTAAATATTTTAACAAACATTTGATAAATAATATAAATTATAAATATAAATTTCATACGATTAGAGTCCTCATAAATGTGCACATGATACTATTATCAAAGAAGATATTAAACCAACCCTAAATAATACCACAAAGACTCTTTTAAACATGTGTCACTCGGGTAGTTCTAGAGTATAGTACTAGTTGATAATATGTATTATTCTATAGAGTTCGAAAACTTCTAAAATGACTATTTATATGATCTATTTTTTGGGTAATTTTACTTTTGCATGATAATTGCACATAACCTATATTTACAAGACTAAACAGATCGCAAAAGCTAACCAAAATAGTATTGTCAAGCTTACTAGAAGTTTTCTACCTATTATATAAAGCTTGAATAAAATCGAAAGATACATACATACGTAAATATTACATCAAACATGTTATGTATAGATTTACTCATGACATTTTCTTGTAGCTATTCCTTAATGTCCTCGTTGAAGCTTTTGCAAATGTTATATCTTCTCATATTTGTTGAATTGTTAATCTTATGCTTTAGCTACAACGCACCTCTCTCAACTTCCACCTTATCTCTGTTATTCTTGTATTCTTGTTGAGTAGTCAAACTTTAATCTGTTAACACTATTTTAACTCGTTAGTAACTTTAACTTTAGTGTGGGTTAGTTGAGTTGTGTTGATCTTTATTAGTTCTTGCGGATCTCTCAAATGAAGGAAAAAGATCTTCCTTATTGTACGTCACTCTCTTAAACATCTCGTGTTTCTTAAACTGGGTAGATGCTCGTTAGAGATTTAACGAGCATTACCTCATAAACTTTAAAGTTTTTGAGATATTTCTTTTGTAAAATTTGTTCATCGACTCCTCTTTTACTTAGTTGTCACTTTCAAGTAAGTTTTCATCATTTTTGTTTTTCATTTATATTTTGTTAAAAAATGAAGCTAACAATCTACTCTTGATAGAATCGATCACTATTGGTGATGATTTGACAATTGTTGTTTTTCACTAAGTCTCTTTGAAGGATCTTTGAGCATGTGCAGAACTCCTCTACAAGATAAATAAAAAAAATTGAGATACACGATTTCTCTCATTTTCTTAAAAGTTGAGAAAGCAAAGGTTATTTAGTTTTATCCACCTCTTTGAGAGTTATATATACTTTATGCATTAAGCTGATTACTAATATTCATCTGCTCTTTGCTCATACTTCTGGAGCATCTAAAATGTTTGTACTCTTTGCGTTAAGTTAGCTACTGCAATTCGCCTTCTTATTGTTATCGAGCTTTTGGAATGCAAAAACTTTTGCCCAAAAAGAGTAAATTTTACCTCAACTTGGAGTAAGTCTAATAATTTTGATCGTCTTTGGGATTATACCATCTTTTTCATCATTTTCGTTGCTTACTCATTTGAGTAGAAAAGGTACAATACTATGTACTGTCTATTTCGTTTCTTGGTCGAGCAATTCTATATCGACCCAAAGTCTCCCATTGTTGGCTATCTTGATGAGAAGCCCCTCAACACTGATCTTACAAAGTTTCTTAGCCTTTGCCCTTCTACCTTATTTTGATACTTAAAGTTTGCCTCTATATTTATTCTCTACCTCCTTAGCCACCTTTCACGACCATACGCTCTCCCTCCATGAGAGCAAGAGATTGATGACTCCATTAAAGTCTTGCTTCTATGGTATCACGGTGTTACCATGCCCATGGCTCTACTATCTGTCGCCTTGCATTTGTGTCTGTTTCTTTATGATCGGTAGATCCACCTTTACGATATTGTGAAACTCTCCTTCAAGTTCACCTCCATCCTAATCAATGTTTGGTTTTGGATAGCCAAGTCTCTCTAGACTCATTGTTGTTTCTTCACCCTTTTCGACCATCTACTTTAACACCTTTGTGTTTTTCAAATAGTTTATGTTGATCGATGAAAAGATAGACTATAACTTCTATGTATAGCTTCTATCATCATATTATAAAGCTTGCATCAATTTTGTTCTTCCTTATGTCCTTAGTAGCAACATTTGTTTACTCAACCTTGTCTTATGATTTATCAGACTCTCTTGAGTGAATATGAGCTCTGGAGCATTCCAACTCTTTTGTCTCTCCGATCATACCTTTGTATAATCAAGTCCCCACCCTCATAGGATTCATTAGTACTTGACTAAGGCCTTCATTTAATGCAAAATTTAGTGTATGGACGAAATACCCTCCTTTGTGGTATTATAGTATTCACTCCATGAATCCATTGTCTTTTTTATCGTCATGTTGCTCAGAGCTCCTAGTAGCTCCAAATCATACTTTTGTATGACTAAGTCCCTCACGAGATTTATCTCGTGTATGTCGCATTGCCTTGAACTATTCCGTCACAATCCATTGCACCATGTCACCTCCTGGTGACATATTCATTATATTCTGATCTTTGTGGGATGAACTCAGATTGTAATAAATTTATGTGTGGCCTCCATTAGTATATTGTAGGGTCTTTGCCACTTTTGATTGTGTTGGTTCCTTTGGTAATTGACCTTTGTTCACCTGGGTCACACATGGATGAAGCATAGTTTTAAGACAGTTTGTCACCCAACAGCTTTCAAAGTCTATCGACTTTGTTAAAATTGGTATGTCATTATTTGGATCCTAGGCCGTTACCTCCAATACAATCTCCGCTATGCACCGCCTTCTTTGTGACAACTCATATGACAGGATTGTGACATATTCCTTAAGAGTACTTATCTCCGTGACCTTTTGTCTCATGTCATGACCTTCTGATGCTTTCCTTGGAAACTTGTTGAGTCTCTTTAGTCCCTCCATCAATTACTTCGTCGAGATAAAGTGCATATGCCTCAAAGCTCCCTTTAACTTTGGTACCATATGAGATGAGTTCATTTTATTAGAACAAGGAACCATGAAATGACATATTGCACTCTTGCCTCTATAAGAGTTCATGTCCTTGACCTCTATCTAAGGAAAGCCTCATGCCTCCATTTCATGTTCTATCTTCTATGTCGAATCCCTTCATGTGGTTTAGTTATTTCACAAAATCCCACCAAAGTTGCTCCACTCCTTGGTATGCATTGAGTTAATGGTGGCTCTTGCAACCACTATTCCATAAGTCAATGGTCTGTTTAGTCTAATCTCCATATCGATTCTAAATGTGTCTTCATTTGGTGTTGTGTTAGGTCGATCTCTCACTTGATCTCACAATACGTCCATTAAAACATTACCTCATATAAGATCATGCGATGACTCATCGTCGCTCACTCAATCTATTAAGTTTTATGGAGCTATCGTCTTGATGTACCTCTCTCAACATAAGTTATCCGTTGCACATGATTCTCTCTTTAAAGAACTGAGATTTATTATTCTTGGATATCTGTCCTATTAAAGTAACTTTCCTCTTTGCATTATTCCCTCTAAAAATTTTGGAGACCATCATCCTCTTGGACTGCTCCACCTTACTGAACAAATAGTGTACTGTTCTATCATCATGAATGCACTTGCTAGATTATGATTCTTTACCAATACAATCCTCAATGTATCCCTCAGGACCTAGTAACATGTTGAACTTACTATACACTTCAGCTTCCTATAGACATATCCTTCATATGCCAAAGAAAAATTTGTCATGCTCCATGATGTTGAGTTTCTATCGCCTTAGGATGGCCATAGGCAATCTATCAACCACATATAAACTCTTACATGAGCATTGAACTCTTTGATTAGCAATTTCCCTCACTTTTGTAAGTTTTATATAAATACTTCGGTCGTTGAGCAACCCATCCCTTCTTACACAATCGTATCATTTACCAAGCATCATGGTTTGCCTTAAGCAATGTCAAATTTGGTTGCCAACATCAAACTATAGCTTGAACTCAACTATCTCAACTTTTGTATGTTATATGTTTTTCCCAATTTAGTTGTCCTCGTGGTGCATATTGTGCGAAGAATCGATCATTCCTTTTAATGTTAATCTTATATACTCACTCTTTACGATGCTCATATCTTTACATTTCTACGCTCATTTCTCTCAAATGATTTCACATGTTGGTTGCTTTGAATGCAACTCTATTGGGTCCTCATATTTACATGTCAAATGTTTCTAAATATGTTTATCCTACTTTGATATCATACTTTATGGACTTAGCTGGTTTTGCCTAAGTCATGTGGCACTCTTGCGTCTTCGTCCATAAATGGTCAATCTTATCAAAACTTTTTATGATCCCTTAAGTACCTACAAAAATAAAAAACGCGATAGAGAAAGCATTTGAAAATTCAGATATTTCAATCAATACTTGATAGATAATATAAATTACAAATATAGACTTCACAGAACAATCGTGTGATAAAGGGTCTAAAGTGATCTATCGTAGTTAAAAGTCTTCGTAAATGTCCATACGATAGTGTTACAGAACAAAACAGTAAACCAAACAATATCCCAAAAGTCCATCCAATTATATATCACTTTGATAGCTCCAAAATATTATAAATACGATCATAAAAACTAATCAAAATAGAACGAGTAGGCTTAAAAGGACTCTCGTGAAGACATCACTAAAATTTATAAACACATACATATATAAACATTATAATTATAATTACGGAATAAGATTTTTCGTGACCGGTAAACACGCTCGATCCTCCTTTTATATAACCTACTGCTGTGCTGAAAGACTCCGTCGGAACCGGCGGCCACGACGAGCTAAGGAGCGATGCACGGCCGGCCGCGGAAGGACCCGCGGCCGAAGGACGACGCCGCGAAGGCCGCGCATCTACGCGAGCTCCAGGCCCAACTCCTCCACAACCACCGAAACCGCACGTAATCCCCCTTCCTCTTCCCAGGATGATCTGCTAACTCTCCCGCAGTCTTGATCCTTGAGGCGACGCAGGTACACCAAGGAGGCACTTGCTTCCTGCTCGAAGCTTTTGGAGATCAACCCCGAGGTCTACACCGCTTGGAACTACCGGAAGCTCGCTCTCCAGCACAATCTTGATGGGGTCGACGATCCCGACGCCCTCAAATCGGCGATCGAGGACGAGCTAAGAGTCGTGAGCTCCGATCCGTATTTTTCTCAATTGGCGCAGTAGTTCTCAAGTTCTGCTCTCTTTTTTATCAGCGAGCTTTTGATTTTGAAGGTGGAGATAGCATTGAGAACGAATCCGAAGTCCTACGCCGCATGGTACCACCGGAAATGGGTGCTCAGTCGCAGGCTCATGCCGGTTGAGTTCGAGCGTGAGTTCAGGCTTCTGGATCTGCTGCTGAACGCGGATCAACGGAATTTTCACGGATGGAATTACCGCAGGTCTAATTTTGTTTCTAGGGTTTTCTTTTTCTGGTTTTATTAGTCGTGGGGATAATTTGGATCAAGCTTTATTAGAATCTTACTTTCTCTGTTCTTCAGGTTTGTTGCGAAGTTGAAGAATGTGCCCGAGGAGGAGGAGCTGAAGTTCACAAAGAAGATGATCGACACTAATTTCAGCAACTATTCAGCCTGGCATAATCGTAGGTATGGATCATATAATTCTTTCTCCTTTTTGGAGAAGATGGAACATATAGTTCTTTGTTCTCTTCTTAGGGCCTTCTAATAGTCATCTGAGGTGTTACAATAATGTAGTAGTTTTCTTCAATCTTTCTCATATTTGTAAGTCAATGATATTCATCTGTTAGAAATACAGAGTTTGTTTGGTATGCAGCTTTCTAGATGGATAAATTTCTTTCAACTTAAAGATGTATGTATTATATGTTCTACTAGTCAGACAAATATATAGTTTTATAGTTAAATAAACATAGAAAACTTTTGAAATGCTCTTCTTGATCCTTTAACACTTGTAATTGTAACTTATTATTCTTATTCATCAAGAGATGAATCATTTGAAAGATGAATAAGGGTTGGATGTGTAGGCTAGCTAATGACTGATTCTAGTAATGACACCTAAATACTATTGTTGGCTGAAGCTAAAATGCAGGAGCAATGTGAACTTTAAAGTTGGCAAAGCATATGTATTTTTTAGTACATTAAATTAAACATAACAATTGGTACTACAGTTTTGAGTGTGACAATATCTAAGAAATCCACATGCTTTGGCTTCATAGCTGAATCTGGAAAAGATGCAATGTTTTGTATACAAATATCTGGGACTTGAGGCTTTTTTGTTGTAACTGTTTCCAGTAGGTAAGTCCTTGGTTCAAACCCCTATATTCAGCCTGAATCTTAACCATCAGTTGTAGTTTGAGTTATTATTGTATTATGACGCTTGATAGCAGCTTAATAATGGAGAAACAAATTAAAATCGTAGTATAATGCTAAAAAAAGGCCTTTTCCCATAAAGGAACAACGTTTACTATATTATGATATTGATGGTATCTATATCATGTGTGTATGTGTGTGTTTTCTTTTTGCTGTTGTCTCATCTGTTGCATTTTTTGCTTGTATCTTCTGGTGGATGCAAAGCTTTATGCCATATGTTGTGGTAGGCTGTTAGCTGATTCCATTTTATCAAATCATGTTCACAGTGCACTTCTATCACATCTGCTAAAGAAAAAGTCCCAGGGCTTTGATTCTAAGAAGAATACTTTAACAGAGGAGTATGAACTAGTACATGATGCCCTTTTCACTGACCAAAGCGATCAAAGTGGATGGTTCTATCATCTCTGGCTTCTGGACCAGACAGTTTGTCTTGATGATCCACAGCTGATCTCTTCATGGCCTACTCATAAATCGGATCTGATTTTATCTGAGAGCAATAAGATCGATGGTTGCCAACTGTTTCCATCCTCAAATTCCAGATCCTTCTCTTTATTGCATACAGGAACATTTCCCATCATTCTCTATTTCAATAAAGCTGTAAAAAATATAGATTCATCTACTGTTATTGTCAGTTCCGTGTTTGTGACAAATGAAGATCTTAATTGGAGGCCACTCTCAACTAATAATTCAGGAGAAGCCTGTTGTTGGGTGACTTTTCTCACAGTTCCTGAGGAAAATTGCAGTAGTTCAACCTCTTATCCAGTTGAGGTTTGCCTTGATAGGTATAAGGATATTGTGTCATCAGATGTTTCTGATTGCAAAATTCCTTCAAAGTTCACATTTACAGTTACATTTAGGAGTCATAGTTTAGAACAGACCAGCAAAGAATCTGTTGAGGAAAATGTTGTCTGGAAATATGTTGATATATGTAACCCACAGGAAAGTCCTTGTCTGATGTCGTTTGATCAGCTAAGCATCAATGAGGACCATGCAGAAGAAGGTTTCAAGTGGAATTTACAGACATTGTCCAATGAGATAGAGCTTTTCAGGGAATTCAATGATGAAGATAGGTTTGTCCCTTTTGCCCCATTAAATGGCTTAAGAATTTTGCTTGATGCTGTTTATATATTGGTGATTCATCTGTTCCTGACTTAAGGTTCATTAATTTTTTTGCAGTAAATTTGTGAAACTAACATTAGCAAGGCTCTTGGTTGCTCGTGACTTAATGGTTCCAAATGGATCTCATAATCATATAAAGACTCATTCTGGTGAGGTCTTAACACTCTATGATGACTTGATGAAGTTGGATCCGTCACATAAAAGATACTATGAAGATGAACAAAGTGTCGTTCTAATGGATCAGGTAAGATTGATGCTATAATTGTCTTAATATCTTTGAACTTCATTTATCGGATTGTGTGCTTTTACGAGTGTTGGTGAAGATCATAAGCTGTGAAACTTCTCAAAGTCTCCAACTGAACAATTTATGATAATTAAAAGAACAAATGATAAAATGCTGTTTATTTTGATGTTAGGCTTTTCTGGCTTGAAGGGAATGGTATGTGTGGTCCGAGCAACATTCTGCTTACATAAGTGTCTTCCTTGTCTTGAGCTGTGACAATTAGTTTTGGATTTTGACAATGAGTGTGGTTCACCTAGGCAAGGTACAAACAATGGAATAAATTATATGTTAAATTTGATCAAGTTGAGTACTTATGCAAATGGTCCCAGTATTTAGTGCTACAGAACACTGGTACATTCAAGAATCAGTAGATGGACCAGTTTCACCTGCATACTGGTTAGCATTGGTTGAAAGTTGAAACTAATGAAATTGTAACCAGTACATTAAACCAGTTAAAAGGGACAGTCCTGAAACAGAGTGAACCTGTAGTACTGGTTCATATAAAAGTTTGAATAATGAACAATAGATCCTAACCTTCAACAGTTTCAAACTTTGAACTTGACTTTCCAAGGTAGTGAGAGAGAAAAGAGGAACAATACAAGGAAGAACTACCATTAACTTTCTTCACTGTTTCCTCCCTACCTTTTTCGTTCCCCACTTTTTTTGGCAATAAAACGTAGTATAACATTCCACTGTCCATAAGGTGGCTGGTGCCTGGTATGGGTCTGTATTCAACCTTGTTACCAACATAAGAGATGAATGCATGCACATGTTGTATATAGTCATACTAATTAGTAACAATCTGACGGCATAGGAGGGCGTGTGCCCCCTGGCTCATGGAAAGTACCAATTCAAATCAAATAATGGAGAGTGATCTATACATATACACCACAGAGAGTAACTTTCTCAGAGTTGTTTGTGATTCATCTAGCTTCTAAACATGTCGATCCTTCATAACTCATTGATACTATAATTTCATGGCAACTACTCCAATTGGCTTCGGAAAAAGATACAGTATGACCTAGTGTTGATCAAATTTGACAGTAGCTATAAGGATTTAATCTATTTTTCCCCCTTGATGATTCACAAGGAAAGATGGTTGGTGAGCAACAATCCAGAACTATATAAATGTAGTTATCTGGTGATAGTTGGGGAGAAAGTAATTCAAATTTGACAAGTTTATTATCTATAAATCTCCATGTAAATTGATGGTAAACAGGTTTTAGCTCTCTAATTTATTCTAGTATCCAGCCCTCATAGTTATTTACTTTTTCGCTTAAATCACCACAAGGCTCTATGCTCTACATGGTTATGCAGTGTACCTACTTTATAAATCCATCATTAAATGATGATCCAATTTTTTAACACCACCCATCAAACAGAAACATGCTTAATCAACATAATCCTTTTTTTATTATCTTTGATACTGCTAGTCATTATTTGTGTGAATGTGTTGTAGGATTCTATCTGTTGCTATGATAACTAATATAGTTTTAGAAGTAAAATCCATGTGAATTGAACTTTGTATAAATGATGTCTGATAGAGGCTTTCCTCTCCCAGGTCCCCAGAGAAAGTGTGCTCTATAGCTTTTTAGGATCATAAGTGAGACATTTTGCAGAGTAGATTATATGAAGCCATATCAGGAAATATGCATATGATTTATACCATCAGACACAGCCCTAGAATTTACAGAAAATATCTCCTCATAATTTGCATATGGACTTGTGATCCATAGGATTTTATAAATAAGAAACATTTAACCTTACTAAATTTCATAATCAGGTCCAACCATGAACCATGGACCTAGGATACACACAACACGGCATGCATACACCGCCACTAAGTAATTGAGAAGTAGGCTTTGACATGGATTTTATATCTTCCATATATTGCTCATCTTTTTATATATGAAGATATATCATGTAGAGAGATGTTTATGAAGATATAGCACTAATATATTGTCTCAAGTGCCACAAATTTTATTCTTGTGATTATTTTGCAGCTGACTTCTGATAAAGATTCTTTAACTAAGCATTGTTGGCAATTTGATGAACCTACTTCCTCAAGTTTCCATTGCCAGTATTGCCTTTGGCTCAATGAGCTATCGTTAACACGGATTGGATCTGTCAAGAATATATTGTGGGTCCAGATGCTAGATCTGAGTCATAACAAACTTCGGTCTGTTGAAGGTCAGCCATTCTTGTCTTTTTCCAGATGCAGCAAAAGTAGATTTCTAATCATGTTGCTTCAGAAAATTTTCAGTCACAAATAGATTTTTGATTTTCGGAGTCAAATTAAGCATGATATTGTGTTCCTGCTAGTGGATTCTTCATTTTAAATATTTAAATTCTCATGACATGATGCACCAAGAACAAGATTTTCTTCTATTGCACTAAAACATGTGAATACTCATTGCTGCAGCACAAACTATAGTTAAGTTTGAGTTTTGATACATAGAGATTGACAGTTTTCTAGCAGCATCGCAACGTGTATGATGAATTGTTTCATCTTCCTAACTGTTATAAATGTTTGTTCTATAAAGTAATGGCTTGTGTAAAGCTATTCCAAATTATTTCCTTGTTCGTTATTGTATCAAGTATACACTTGGGAAATATATGCATCACTTCCCTGTTGAAGCATGGGATCTGTTGGATAACACCATCATCAATTATTGTTTAGGTTCTTCTTTTGGACCTCAATCTTTTCCCTTTGTTATAATTATGCCATGTTTTTGGTGTAATTTGATTTTCACCCTTGTTAATTCTTGACTCGACATACTGCTCTATGATTTCTCTCTTTATTTCCACTTGTTTGTATTCTTTGGTGACTTCAAGCTCCATAGGACATTGCTACTATGGTTAATCATACAGTAGGAACGTTAGGAACATCTATTTTACTACTACAAGTGGCAACAACTTGATTCTGCCTTCCCTCAGAAGTTGCTCGCTTTTTGACAGGTTTGGAGGCTTTACAGCTTCTTGCTTGCTTAAACCTCAGTAACAATCAAATAAGCAGCTTTACAGCCCTGGAGCCCCTAAAGCTGCTCAGTTCCTTGAGAGTACTTGATGTCTCCTTCAACATGATCGGTGCTCATGCGATCGACACCACAAGGTACCTCTGCTCATCTCCATTATCACATACTTTGGATGCAAAGCAACTCAATGTCGGATATGAGAAGGAAAATACGGAGGTGCGCGACCACTGGGAAGTCACGTCGCTTTTTAGGGCGTTGCGCTTAACGCAATTGGATATAAAGGGAAACGCAGTCCTGAATGAGAAATTTAGTGTGTTGGCGATCGAGTTGCTTCCGTCTCTGAAATGGCTCGATGGGAAACATGTAAGATGATTACAATCTGACTTGAAATTTTTGTGAAGCTATACATTTATACAATCTGCGTAGAAAATTTTGTGAAGCTTCATTTATCATATGTTGTGCCTCATACTTTGCGAGATGTTTACCTTAAAAACAGATAGGGCAGTGGTAGCCAATGAAATATGGAGTTTGATTAATTTGTTGTTGACATAATTGACTTTCCAATTACAAGCTTATTCTGGCTTAGTGAAAATGAATACTGCAAAGTCTTTACTATTGCTGTTGCTTTTGGTTTTTGCGATTGGTCGGATGGTACGTTAAATATATTTAATAAAAAAGACAATTACATGTTATGTTAAAAATATAAATCATACGAATAATAATTTTTGTAAAATCTATGGTCTAAATGTGATGGTACTATCAAGCCCAAGTAGTGATACCGTCTGACTCAATTAAAAAATACTAGAACCATGATTTGTGATCTTGTTACGATGGTAGCACTGTTCGATAATGGTAGTAGTATCGTTAGTGCTTAAATTTTAAAGATTTTAATTTTTTATTTTATTCTTAAAACTTTTTGAGGTATATAAATATCCTACTCATGCTTGGTTGATAAAATACATATTTCTAAGCACAGAAGTGTTGTAAACTCTTTTCTTGAACATTGTTTAAATCTATTTCTTTTTTTAAGTTTAGAGACGATTTTAAGTTGTAGGAGATGAAAGATCTTGTAAAAGAACGAGTGTGAAAGTTCTTTCTTAGACTCGTTAAAAGAAAAAAAATTATAACAATGATAATTATTGGATTTGTGTTTGCTTACTCAATTATTGTTTCACCCTCTCTCTTGGTGTTATTATGATTCTAATATGATCTAAACATATATAGATGCATCAGGCTATAGAACGTTTCCTCATCCTCGACGGGGCCATATTCAACCATAAGCGTCCCTTATCTATGTAGCTAAATTCGATCATAAAATTTTTCTTTCTTACATCTAATGTGATCAAATTCGACCATCAATATCTTTTATATATATTCAAACATGATCGAAACCAATCATGGCACATCTCTCGCCTCCAATGCAAACAAACTCAATCATAAAACAACCCTTACCTTCGACACAACTCGACACCCTCTCATGTCTACTAAGTGGCCTACAAGAATTACACAATTTGACAGCTCCAATGACGACTCATATTCAAAGTAACAAACACTTCAATCACACAAAGCTACACAACTCAACACCCACTCAAATTATCTTATCGACCCAACATGTCTGTCTACCTAAGTGGCCTACAAGGTTGACAATATTTGATGCCTCGAATGACTCCTCATATTGGCCAACCATATTGGCTTATCTTGAGCTTTATAAACCCAACAAATCCTATATTTCTTCTGTCTCACTAACTCAAAACAATAAAAGGGCTTTTGTTGGACATCCATTCATTTCCCGACCTCAAACTCATGACCAACTTGAGCTTAATCAAAAGGTTAGCTCACAACATGTTTGTAGAGTCCTCCAACACGCACGATCGATGTTCACAAGATTACCACACACTGAAATCAATGATAAAACATGAAGAGCCCACCGAGCACTTTGACTCAGCATTGTCATCATGAGATTCCCTAATGCACACGCACTCCAAACGGATGCGCCGACTGACTGACGCTTCTGATATGTACAATACCATACCTAACCAAGTTCCAACATCCAATGACACACATTAATCATACGTGATGAAGCAACCCAAGTATTGGATCCAGTAATGCCATCTTGTATCGAGAAAAACAATGCAACAACAACAACAAACTGTATATCAATCTGTTGGGAAGAACGAGTTGTGAAATAGCATGTAGGTCTGACCTAGTTGATTCCCATTTATATCATAGCATCATATATTCCTTGGGAAGATAACAATTGATGAGGTGCCTGCAACAGTTCAATGAACTCACTCGGGTTACCGATAGTTTTGTTAGAATAAGATTCAAATGGCAATTCATTCACCTGTGAAGAGTGTGGAGTCTTCACTTTCAACAAAGTTGTAGTTGATACTCACCCAATATTTGTTATTGTAGCACCGATATTTGAGGGGAATCACCTTCCCGAACATCGTTAAGTTCTCTCATGGACCGGTTCCAGGCCACCAATGCTGCCCCAACTGCTGGCTCTAGCTGCAAACAGCTCAGCGCTCAGTGGCGAGAAAACAAGAATGACTCAAGTATGGATCTGGTTGCAAAGTCGTATAATTTTAATAGAAAGTTATGAAACCCAGGTTTTGCTCATAAAATCCTAGTACCCTTATCCGGTTCAAAGCCAAAACACAAGATCAAGCTCTGCCATAGGTCTCTAAGATGTCAAAAGGAAATCAGATGAAGATAAATGGCAGTGCTTTTTTTTCAGCAAAAAATGCAATATTGTGTTTGCCACATTATTGAAACTAACAACTAACCAAAGAAATAAATAGAACTGTAAAGCTATTGGTATTATTAAGTGCATTTAACAGGATCAGATATTACAAATTTTTACTTTTTTTTGGGTTTGCATCTTATACATTCTTCAGTCATCTTATTGAATCCACAGGTTCTTTTCATTTCTTATTCAATTTGTGAATGGAAAATATAATTGAGATATGTTCATATGCACATTAAAGTAAAAAGGCAGTGGCACAAACTTACGTATCTTTTTTGTTTGATCTATGAAGACAAACAAGAATGGACATGGTGGCTTTCTCTTTTTTCTCCTCTTTTTTCGTATCTTGAGTGTGAATATGGACTCAGTTTCATGTTTACCAGTTTAACCAATCTATAGGGAAAGTATCAGAACAGAGTATCACATGAAGACTTTTAAAAGGGGCACACTTGAATGACAATATCTAAAATGAGATAAACAGAAAATGTAAACAAAAGTATCAGAACAGAGTATCACATGAAAACTTATAGAAGGAACACACTTGAACGACTGTATCTAAAATAAGCTAAAAAGACAAGATAAAAGGGGTGGAGGGGTGGGCTAATGTTTGTGAACCTTGGGTCGAATAGGTAGGGCCCCTGGGAAAATCTTGGAAACGCAGTTTACAACTTCCTTTCCAATATCCCATCTCTTATTAGCTTCAAGAACACCACCAACCATAACAAGTGGGAAGGCCTCTTTGCCATCTGCAAATACAGAGCACCTTTAATCTACAAGAGAATGTAGCTTACATACCAAAAGGGAAAAAAATGGTCAAAGAAAGAAAATCACATTCAAAGAATCACACAATCAAGAACATTTAGTGAAAGTTGCAACCGATGCAGTCAAATGTCACACTACACCTTCGCCACACAATCTAAGTCTTCTAACAACTGCTATGATACTGTCTGCCAACTCCTGTACAGAGTCATATAATATCCTATTTGCAACTTCATCGCCATCTTCAGCGGTAGATACCACAATGGGAACAAGTGCAGCAATACGAGCCCATGAGGGATCTGCATAAGTCCACCTGTGCAATAAAGACAGAAGAATTATTTGAATTCTCTAATCACAATAAGTTAGCTACAGCAGAAGCACTTCTATATGTCTGACCGTAAAAAGATTATGCAAGATACTGGCAGCTCCTTGCTATAAACATATGCCTTTCAGCTTTCCTTTATCTTGCATGTGTCCTATAGGCAAGAATTGATGCAGCACGCATATGCTCTCAATGAAATGATTGCATATGTTAGCAATTTCATTAAAATTTTACAAGTAGCTGCATAAGTAATTAACTGAAGAGGGAAGCAATCACTCAATATTGAGAAGATAATTAATTTCTAAAACTGCCAGCAATCAATGCATGTGTCAGTAAACTAGCCTGCACAGCAATCTCGTTCTTTCTGCTTCTAAGTTTCCAGATTTTTTTTGGAAAATATTCCTTTAACCACTATAACAGAAGATTCCAATTTGAAACAAGAACATCATATCATATTAGTCATGCAATAGATCTAGAAGTTAAAGGGGTACCCAATCAGTTCATCTGGTGAAGGAAGCTCAAGCATGTCAAGAATGCTTTTCGTTAACTTTGTCTGAGGTCCCCGACCATCATGTGCCCTAATCACGGCAGTCAATGCCTGTGCAGCAATGCCATATCCACTGCATATGCCCACATATCAGTAAATTTTCCCATGATCATACAACAAGAAAGAAGAATAGGAAAATATGATTAACACAAAAGTTATGCTCAATAAGGGCATTCAAGTATCATTTGTGTTTAGAGTGCATGAATAATGCATGTTATTTTAAAACCTCCATGGAAAAATACACCATGTTTGGAGACACTGATGCCTACTTAAGCAAGCACATAGACCCACATTTCAACAGAATGCATAATAATCTGACTAGTATCTCTGCAAAATGTGCCGCAACAGGTAACATGTTCCTAGAAAAGCTTCGACATCAGGAATAAAATGATCAAGGATTCAGGAGAAAGTTCACTTCACATCAAAGAGGCTCATGTGTTACACCAACAATGTTGACAAAAGGAATTCCATTTAAACAATATCTGATGTAATTTTTGAGTGAGAAGATTTAGAAGTAAAAATTAAAAGAATATAGGAATGGTGCAAGAATAGATAACAAGGTTTAAATCTCGGTCTAGAGCATTAATTTGAATAGCAGTTTTGGTGTGAATTGATGAACTAACAATCAGTACAAATCAAAACTGCATGGATCAAAACAAAAGTGAGGAAGGGGAGGAAAAGGAGAAAAGGAAGAAGACTGGTGGCAGTGGAGGAAGAGCAGGTGGAGAAGAGGAAGGCATGAACTAACAGGAGGAATATCAAACAGGACGAAGAGGATAGTGCCATAGTAAGGTCAAGGAGACGGCAGCACTGGTGATGCAACATCAAAGAGGACGAGGCCAAAGTGTTACAGGAGAGGAGAAAGAGAGAGCACATGAGAGAGCTTGTGTGGGAGAAAGAGAGAGAGATAGTGATCATGACAGAAAGAAATAAAAGAAACAAAAAAAAAAAAAGACAATTGTGAGTGACGCTATTAAAAAACTTAAAATGATTACCTTACTGCCTGATAGAATTCCATATCAAGTTATTCACTATCTAATACACCGTGTTATTTATCGCTTAGTATGGTGAGCTTACCAGGTGGTATGACCTCGATTGGATTGAATCGGATGAGATCACCTGGTCCACGTCCCAATTGGCTGTCAGACCGAAAAATACCAGCCCAAACTAATTTGTACAGACACAAACCTTGCTAGATATTAGTTATTTACCATGTCTAAATAGTTAATAGATAGGCGCAACCAGTAAACGAAGTTGTGGATTATGGAAGATCATATTACTTTTGAACTTGTAAAAAAGACAACAAAGAAGGGTAGGGGTGACTAGAAGAGACAAAAAATAGAAACCAACAGTATCAGAATTATTTCTATGTTGGTTTCAGAACTATTTCTATCTCCACTCAAGCACAAAGCTGTTATGTTACAAACTGGAAAATCTGATAGGATACCTAAACCATGGACAGGTTGTGAATTATCAATTCAATCAACACCAAATTGTAAGGCATTGACATTTCTATAACAATGTCCACATAAAAGCATTTGATCTTAACTTTGTATAGCGTTAATATCAAAAAGGAGATACTAAGATACCTAAATATAAAAAATGCATGAGAACATCATGTTGGAAAGTCTAGACAGCTAACAAAAAGTTAACAATTTAGTGGTTGTCCATCATCTATCACTATATTAATTATCTGTCATCTCTCACTACAATACTTGTGTTCTCATTTATATGTGCTAAATATAATTATCTTAATGCAGTTTAGTTGTTTCATTCAACAATATCTACATCATCTAAATTTTAGAATGACAACAATTTCCAGGTATCACCCAATCCTCAATTTTCAATAGATATATAAACTAGGAGAAACCTAGCATCAGTTTGTGGTCAACAATAAAGTTGTGAGGTGCAATCTGAAAATTGTTGAGTGCAAACAATAAATGGATGATAAATCTTTATACATCGTGTATGTGCAAAAATCCAATTTAACTAGGCTAGCAAAGATAACGAGTAAAAAACAACCTCCCCCAATCACCCAAGACTGGTCCTGCACCAGCAGCTCTGGCTTCTTTTCCATCCTCAGTGAACCCATAAGCAATGGTGCCTGTGCCTGCAATTAATACACAGCCATGGAGCTTTCCCATTGTGCCACTGGCCAATGCTGCAACGGCATCATTTTCAACATAAAACTTGACACTATTTGGGAATATATCTCTGTGAAAAGAAAAAAAAAAGAATTAGCATATTCAGATGTAATCAAGGCTTGAAAGTCTTCAAAGTCATGAGAGCATCTAAGACGATGTTCAAAAAGGATTCAAAATTGCAACGACAGAAGTATAGGAAGTTCATCTTTTCAAGTAAAAGTATCATACACACCGGAGCCAATCTAGTATCCTCTGTTGATCTGTAGGATGATTTACTCCAGATACGGCTAAGCAGACTGCTCGAACAGCTTTACGACTGTAGCAAGCCTTTGAAAGAGCTTGAGCCATAACCTCCTCTAGGGTCTCCCTTGCAGCATTTTCTGCATAACACCATCTATACACTATAACACCTTTGACAGTCATAAATTTAGAGCAAAGGTACATGCCACATTACTTGAGTTCTATCTATATGGATCAAGACATCCATAATGCAAGTAAATTCATATTCAGTGTAATTTAATTCATAATTTTTAATATTTAAAAAATCTTTACTAACAAAATTATTTGTCTTACAGTGTATTATCTAAATCCGACCATTCAATTTCAGTATAATCTTGGAACGTGATTGGATTTATTATCGACACTTAAAAAATGTTATATATCGACTCTTGTCAAACACTGTCAATGCTATTATAAAGGGCTGATTATTCCGAGAAACAATTGATTTATTCTCTAACGTTGTAGTTGTATCGTGTCATTAGAATATGGATCCTGATAAGGAAAAGTTACACACATATTGATTATAGACTATATTTAATATTAATTATTAGTTATGCTAATAAAATCCTATTTAAATCCTTTTGCAATCGAGTGGTGGCTATAATTTGGAGGGGACGTATCAAATTTTATAAAGTTGTCATTCGTGTACTTTAGCAAATAACGACATCCAGTGGTTGTGAACGTAATTGGTCAGCATTCGAATTGATTCACATGAAGGTCCGCAATAGATTATCGTATAGACGGTTGGAGAAATTGATATATGTCAACTATAATATGTGGCTAAGGTTGCGTTGTGCCAAGCTGGACAAAGAGTCGGAGGAAACAAAGATTAATTCCATCAACCTCCAATTCTAAAATGAATATTTAGAGCTAATGTTAGGGTGGATCGAAGCAGCGATGAACTAAGAGGATCCTCTACTTAATGAGGCAGGAGATCCTCCATGTCCTGCACGTTTTATCATCAAGGGAATAGAAGAAGAGGAAGCACATCCCTAATAGGAGGAAGATAACCCTTGGTCAAAACGTGGTAGAAGGAGTCAAACAATATTGAGTCAGACTACTCGAGGAACTAAACACCCAACCGTCACAATCATCCACCTAATGTGCAAAGGCAAAGGCAATCCGCACTGTTGGAAAGAATCGAGTCAGGTGATAAAACACATTCTCAATCACATTCAACAACCCACTCAGTCTAGAGACATGGCAACGACATGGACAACAATGCCTTAACCAATGATCACGACGGCATTGGGGAGTCGATGGTCCCATCTACACAATTTGAGGGTGGTACATGGACCAAGGAGTAACACTTTATACGTGTTACCCAAGAATCAAATTATAGAGCTCAACGAAGTACTAGTAAAGTTTATACACGGAAGGCGAAGAAAAAAATAGTGGATGAATTTGAGTAGATGCGATAAAGCTTACACGACGTAGACACAGAGTGAAGATCGTCGTATTCACAGTCATCGTATTATGAAGAATTTTACGGCCAATAACAATACGATGATAGTTGGTCATATTTCTCCGAGCAATAATACGATGATCGATTTTATGATACAGAGCAGCAGATAAATAACAAAAGTATAAGTTCTAAAATTCTCTATGCTCCACACCAATACATGCCACAATCATCCTTGCCTCAGGAGCTGTCATGAACATATGTGGTTCACGACAATCAAACTACAACCATCATATTGATGCACTAATGGCTTACGATATATCAATCTACTATGTGGGATCAATTTCGGGACTAGATCCGACAAACATATCAAATTAATATACAAATACATAGGATCGAGGACCTTGATCCACCGTCCGTGAAGTCCCGTCATTCCTTTTAGTTATAGAACTAGGTACATCCACCGATTGATTACTTAATTCATTTGAATCTTAAGATTTAAGTTGTTTAAAAAATAATCCAATAATTCAAATTATTTATTTATAGATAATTTAATATTAATGGAAGGATGGTTCGAAACGTACCACAAAGCTATTCCTTCAAGCCTAAAAAAGATGTGTCACTATTCTTTCCTAATTTAGATTATTTATGCTAAAATTATACTAATTTATATTTATTTTTAACTTAAAAACCTTAATCTAACTTTTTCTATTTTTCAGATTTTTTTGAGCTATTTTCAGTGATTTTACTGTATCATCAATACATATCAATATACTGACATATAATATGTTAGTACGCCTCGGTACATACCATACCGACGGCTGGTCGATAGATTGGTACAGCCCGATAAGATGAACCTTGAAACATATAACTAATTAACTTTTAACCAACATGATCAAATGAATTTGCATTTGCATTTGCATTTTGCTATCATGAATAAAAATCATAAAGAAAAAACTGTCTTATCAAATTGATTTGACTTAAAATAGATTCACCACAATATTACACAATAAATACCCATGAACGGTTTGCAAATGATATTTATTGAACACGTCATACAAGAAAAAAAATCAGTTTTATGAAAGCTTTCTCCCAAGTTCTTATCAAGCAGGTATACCACTTTGTCCCTTCAGTAAAATGGATCCTCTCCTTGCAAGAATATAAAATGATAAAGCTAATAGTTTTAAGCAAAAAGAAGCTACAGAAAAGAATTTAGGATCTCAACAATGTCCCAACGTCGTCAAAAAATCTTTTAAACCAAGAATCATAATAATCAAATGTTCCTCTAAGAACCAAGATTGATGATGCCAACTCCTCTCCTATGTGAGGTATTTGCCACATTTGGGATAGAAGCCCAAGGCCAGATAAAGGCTTAAGTATTTGCTAGATTGCAAAGAAAAATCTCAAGTTGTGACCTCTCAATTCATATTTGGCAACTTTATTCTTAAAAAAGCAAGAAAAGTCCCTAGCAGTGTGAAATATAAGACCTCTGAGCAGGTTAGGATCCAGCAATTGGGAAAAGAAAAAAGAACTTTACTTGAGCATGATTTACTGGATTACTAATTATTATCGTCTAGTTGATCCCCAAGTAAAAAACAAACAAAAGAATGTTTTAGAAAGGACTCCCTACCGATATTAATACGTTAAAGAAAGCTTTTTATCTGTCTAACATTTTAGTCATTATCTTATCCATCAAGGACAAACCATCTGTTTTTTCTTGGCTCATCATATTCTCTCAACTTCTCTAGTAAGCCATGGTAGTTGCTAATTTCTGTATAGCCGGAGATTGCCAACAGCAAAATAGTCTCCCTCCTCTTCTATATAGTAGCTTCACCACAATGGTCAAGCAATATTACATTTCACAATGATGTAAAGGTTACATGGTGCGAAGCAAGATCATGAGAGAAAACTTGTGGAACGTATACAAATTATTATAACCTAAAAATGATGCATTGGAGAACAACAACAAACAGAGGACCACAAAGACTAAGATGACGGAAGATAAGTTCATCGAACAACATACAACCATTATGTTTGATAAAAGGCTGCAAGATATTGTCGGACAAAACATTGACATGGCAACATGATACAAACCAAAGCCATCCCACTCACATTCTAAAGGCGACAAGAACCAAAATACCATTAAGATTTGACAGTAGAAAGAGTTATAAGAATCAAACTCAACTAGATTATATATGCCAAAAAAGTGAAGGACGCATATTATGGTTTGGCATGCACCCAAGAGGGCAAAAAGACTAAGAAACAGAGAGGGTAAGGGGATTACATAGTTGGATCCAATCAAGAAAACCATTTAATTTAATTTAAGTAAATAAAGATAAATTTTCAAAAAATAGAAATATCACACGTTTTCCTAAGGAGATATCTCAACCTACATTCACGCATTAACTAAGGTTTCCACCCTAAGATATAAATAGGGCAGTCATGAATTATCTTTCAATCTCATATCAGTAACAGAAAGAAAAAAAAACCAGTATGCATCCCTAGTACAGAGTTTGATATGATATCATCAGTATACACCCATAGTACAGAGTTTGATCTGTAAAAATCAGTGAAAAGCTCCTCTCGTATATAGGAGTGAGACGCCGATCAGCGTCTCATCCGAGTGGGAAACCGGTACAAGAATGCGAGCGGCGGTCGATTAGAAATTTCTACGGATTAGAATAAATATATTAAAATACTAAAGATAAATTAGATAAGGGAAAATTTTGAGAGTCAATACCTCCGACTGAGTTGTGGTTGGAGCACCCACCGACGGCGCGGGAAAGGATGGGCAAGGGATCCGGCAGCGGCCCGGCGGCGGGCAGGCAGACGCAGACGGTGGAGGTGGTGCCCCCGTCGACGCCAAGGACAACACCGTCGGCGGGTCCCGTCGGCGCCTGCGCCTCAAAACCCCAAATCTCCCCGTTCCTGAACCGTTTCATCGCTGCCCCTCTCTCTCTCTCTCTCCCCCGGTCTTCCCTCCTTCCTTCCCTGGGGAAACAAACGGAAGAAGGAAAACGATCACACGAATCTACCACCTTATCCTCCCATCGATCCGCTGCGATGAATTCAACCACCGCGGCACAGAATTGGAAGGCGAGCAGGCGGTTCGGATCGATCCAACTCTTTTGAGATCCCAGAAGCAGTTTAGTCGGGAAGGGAATCGCATTCGCTGTGGACGGCACCGCGGTCGAACGAAGAACGAACGAAGAAACGAAGAAAACTAAACAATAACAATATTATTAATAGCTTCCTGGAGCCTGCATTGGGCCCCATTCGTCAGGAACGTGAGAGGCCGGATGGTAGGAGAAGCTTTTGGGGACGGACTCGGGGGCCGTGTGTCTGGGCGCATCGCAGTCCTTGGAAATCGGATATAGTAATATTTGATATGGAGTCCCTTTCATCCTCCCCGACTTAGGGTACGCGTTCCGGTACGAGCAGGGACGTGGCGCTCCAAATCATAATTTCCGAAAACAAAATATTGTACTTATTTATTTTCCAAAAGGACATCCCTATTTTGAGTTTTTTTCCTCTAATGTTTAAAATAAAAAATATGCTCATCTATTTATTTATTTATCTTTTTGCTCGATCTCCCTTTTTTTTTTTAACTCAAATTCAGGTGAACTAATTTAATCGACTCAAAACTTAGATCGATTCAAAATAAATAATAAATAATAAATTATATAACATTGAAAAATTAATAAGAATATAATATTTAAAAATAATAAACTTATTATAAAATAATGACATAATTTTAAGTTTTTACGGATTAAAGGCTTAGAAATAGAAAGATTATCATATAGGCCTTACTAAGTTCTTTGCAAGTTTTTTCTGAAATTGATATTTTTTAAAAAGGTGAAATATGAGTTACATAATTTTTAGGGTTATAGTATTTAAAAAATAATAGGTCTCCAAATTTTTTTTCTCAAAACCTGTTTTTGATAAATGAATATATATATATAATTTAATGCTTTAAGGATTCAAATAAATAAAAAATATTTTAAATACTCAAGAATAAAATCATTTAAGCCTTTCTAAGTAGTTTACAAGGTTTTTTTTTTAAATTTAATATTTTTAAACAATTTTTGGAGATTTGAGTTACATTATTTTTAAATGAAATTACACCGTATAATCTCGTTCAAAAATCTCCAAAACTTTTTTTTTGTATCTTCAAATTTTCATAAAAGTTAATTTTGTTGACTGGGATCATATGTGGATTTGCCTTTTATCTCACTATGAAAGATATAAACATACACATGAGAGCATCCAACACTGATAATTAAATAGAGAAGAAACATTGTGGCATCAACCTTCCTTCCAACCCAAAAGTCTATTTGAGAGAAATTAACATATTAACCATATTTTTTTTTTCTAAAGTAATTAGTTTGAAAATCAATTTTCAATTAACTTAGTAAAATCGAGCCTAAGGGTCAACTTTCAACTCCCATTACAATTTTTTAGGATGGCAAATCAACCACAGGAAGATAGTAATACTTGGTATGAAGAACTCTACTCCAAATGGTGGAATCCTGAGTAAGATATTGATGAATACACTTCATTCCTAAAACAAATTTAGTAAGATGAAGTCATGAATCTAAAGTTATCAGAAGATTTAAGAAGAGTAATCATGGGGTCAATCCATAAGGTAAATTGTATTTGTTTGTCTTTTTTTTTTATTGTAAAAGTTTTTCTAAGAATCCAAACGATAAATAAGAGAATTAAATTATATGACATTTTAAAAATAAAAATTTCATTATATATATGTATATATATGTATATACATATATATATATATATATCTATATATATATATATATATATATACATATATATATATATACATACATATATATATATATATACATATATTCAATTTCTACCTTTCTGGGTATGTTTACATGCTTTTTACTGTAGTTAATTTGGACCTCTTTTCCTTTGAGACAAGGAAGAGAAACTGTGTCAAATGGAGTAGATGGTAAGTCAACTCTTATCTGCTCAGGAATTCTTCAAGTTTCTTCTACCTCAGACAAAAAAGTTCTTCAAGTCATCATCTGATTTTTCTGACGGTCAGCTCATGTTTGGCCATGTGTTTGGGAGTATCTAATAGTCAAACACATTCTGGAGCTCTGTTTCCTCTTCTCCTTATAAATTTCTGCCAGCATCTATTGACTTTGATCCACGCAACTTTGACTGTTCCTCACCTGACTCGTTCTTCTCAATGTAGCTACCCATCAAGTTGCCTTTGAACGAGGCAATTGGAGTCACCCTTTGCATTATTTATCCTCTTAGATCATCTTTGGCAGCAACGCAGAAGAATGTGTCGGAAAGACCGCATGTAATGCTGATAGATAACGTGGTGAGAATTGTGGTTTCTCATTTGGTGATTCTTCTGTAGTAAGTTTGATGCTCTCCTTCTATAAATCCATCACAAGAAGAACAACATGAGCTAATAATTCTCTTGCATTACAAGCAGGTGTGGAACAAAGAGATGGAGAAGAAAGACAGCAGCACCGAAGGGGAATCAAGCACGGTCTCACCGGACGTTCAAGCTTTCTTCGACTTGGTCGATCGAGAAGGCCGTCGTCGTCGTCGTCGCCTGGAGTTGCTGAATAAGAAGGAGGAGGAGGCGAGCTCAGGGAAGCAGCCAGCAAACAACGTCGTCCCATGGCAGCCCAAGTTCGAGATGGAAGATTTCGAGCTGTCATCAGAGAGAGTACAGCTCAGCTCAGCTAAGCCATGTTACCAAGGAGATGACGGTTGCTCGGGTAGAGGGATAAAGAGGAAGAGCGAGTTGACTCCTCCTCCTCCTTCGATCCATAAGAAACATGCTAGTAGAAGATTTGAGTTTGATCTGAACAAGACCAATGATTCCTTCTAAGGTGAGCCACCTATCTGATGCTTGTTTCTTTGTTGTACTGATCCCCATCAACAGCAAATGTTGCGATGTTAAGATCCATCAGAACCTTTTTAATGGTTCAGATATATGAGTTGTCCACACTCGAATGCTTCTTTGGTCTTGCATGTGTTGGATTGCATCAGAACAGTCACCCAAAGATCTACTCCACCTGCAGTAACTTGGAGAAATCTTTACTGCTTGGCAAAAGAAATCAAACAGCCTGATGGCAGGAAAGCCTACAAACTCACTCACTCTTAGGATGCTCTGAAGGGCATCATGATGAACCTATCTATCCAGGCTGCACTCACAATGATTCTTCCCCAGCAGATCTCACTGTGCAAATGCAGTCACTCCTCCATTCCATTTTGCTCTGGTCTTATGTGAGCATGGCATGTGCCAACAATAAATGCCAGACCAGGTTGGTTTGTATGCATCTGCTGCGAGTAGATGTTTTGCTTCCATGAATGGCTTCATTGGAGCTGTGTCAAAACTTGCATGAACTTTAGTCACCGGGTGAAATATATGCCCAACACAGGAAGTAGTGATCTAGAGGACACAAGGTATACTGGAATTTGGCCTACAATGGCTGACAATGATTGATAGAACTTTATACTGGGAAACAAATGTTCTATCACAGCAGGGAGCTTGTGATGTGATCATTTACCAGTCACCAGAATCTTGGTGGTGAACCTGCTTGCTTTTGTGTATAGCAGGCTGAGTTACTCTTCTTTAGGTTTAAAGACAGTGGTGAAGTTGTGTTCTTGAAAAGCAACAAGTGGTGATACAACTTCTGCAGTGTAATAGATGTTATGTCTATTCAGGTCATATAAAATTAGGATTCAGGTTATATGTGATTAGATGTTAGAGGAGCTAAGACAATTCATCACAGCACTTTTCTTCTCCTCGAGGAAGAACAACAGCTTATGAATGGGGAAAAGGAAGTTTCTGAGATGACTCATCTCTTAGAAACAGAAGCAAATAAATCTTTAGGAAGCACAAGGAAAAGAACTCCAAGAATGAAGTGGTTGTGGCATTCATGAACTGGTGGCTCTTCAGCCTTCACGCAAGGAGGAGGATGAGACCCTTCACGCATGAAAGAAGCTGTCGAGGGAAGACGTGACTCATAATTTCACCTGATATTATGCGTCGTGTATTCTTCTTGGGATTAATTTGACCTGACATTATGACGACGAGATTCTGCTCGGACGTAAGAGAAAGTACACGTCGAACAGGCCAAATCCATGGACATCGGAGAAGGAATCTTAGTGCGAAGCTGCTGTTTCATGGATAGATTTTGCTTTCCACGGTCTCGTACTCGGCCATTGTTGGTGGGAAAGAGACGATTTCGATGAACGAAATGGTTGATTTAGATCGAGAGTTCACGTAGTTTACCGCGGTTTTGTGATAGGATCTAGCAAAGATTACGTTTCGGCTTACGCTCGTAGATCATGTCGCGCGGAGAGCGTCGCTAACGTGCGCCACTCCTCCTGCCTATATGAAGCCGCGACGAGAGCAAGCAGACGCCTCACCGACATCACCACTCCGCTCTCTCTCTCTCTCTCTCTCTCTCTCTCTCCATTTCTTTCGGCTTTTGTTGTGCGGTGCATAACATTGGGAGATGTCGGCAGCGGCGGCATGGATGGAGCCGAGGCTCGAAGTGGACAAGTTGAGCTACGAGATCTTCTCGATGCTGGAAAGCGAGTTCCTCTACGACGACCACAAGCTGTTGCTCCGCTCCACGCCCGCCGCACCCGCCGCCTCCTGCGCAGTCGCTAGCAGGGTGCGAGTCCTTTCCGTCGACGCTGCTGAAGGCGTCATCACAGGCGCCACCCTCGCCCGCCTCGAGGCCTCCCTCCGCAAGCAGTCCGGCGATCCCGACGCCTGCGTTGCCGACTTCTTCGACCTCGCAGCCGGGTCGGGCTCCGGGGGAGTCCTTGTCGCCCTACTCTTCACCCGCGGCCCCGACGGCCGACCCCTCTTCTCTGCCGCGGAGGCCCTCCGCCTGCTCGCTAAGCACCGCCGACACCTCGTCTCTGGTGCTCGGCGGAAGGGGATACTGGGGGGCCTTCTCTGCCGGTCGGGAGGTCTGCTCCGACGGGTGTTCGGGAACACAACGCTGCGGGACACACTGAAGCCAGTGCTCATCCCGTGCTACGACCTGGCGACGGGAGCAACCATCGTGTTCTCGCGGGCGGATGCCGTGGAGGCGGACGGCTATGACTTCCGTATGGAGGAGGTGTGCGCCGCCACGTGCGCCGGGCCTACGGCAGTAGAGGTGCGCTCCGTGGACGGTCGGACGATGATCCGGGCGGTCGGGGGCCGGCTGGCGATGGGGAACCCAACGGCGGCAGCCGTCACCCACGTGCTCAACAACCGGCACGAGTTCCCCACCGCCGGCGGGGTGGAAGACCTCCTCGTCGTCTCGATCGGTGGAGCAGAAGCCCCGGCACCACACGGCAAGGCCCGGGCGCTGCTCTCGGAAGCGGAGCTCGTGAGGATCGCCAGTAGCGTCCACGCTGACGTCGTACGGCGCCTCGACGTCTCCCCTCACGTCACTTAACTGCCAATAATTAATTTCCATTTTATTTTTTTTATTAAAAGACTAATATACTCTCCATATAAGAGAACCATTTCGATATTAGCAGTCCAATATTTGGGTATTTCCGTCAATCCGCAGCCTCATACATTCTTTTGCTTGAAACTGACGTAGGTGGATCAAGCTGTGGCGACAGCGTTCGGGGAGTGTCGGGCCACCAATTACGTACGGATCGAGGTGGGAACTACAACAATACTTCGATCGTAGAGAGGGTTTTTGGGAATCGCCGGGCCTAATTGTGGCTAATAACTGCGTGGGGGCACTGCAGGGCAACGGGGCGGTGCCGGGGACGACGACCGCGGCTGCAGCGGGGGAGGGGATGTTGAGAGAGAGGGGGGTGGAGTCAGTGCTGTTCCGGGAGAGGAAGCTGTCAGAGCGGACCAACGAGGAGAAGCTGAACCTGTTTGCGGCGGAGCTGATCAAGGAGCAGGAGCGGCGGAAGCAGAGCACCGTGCCCGCGGTTGCTCTGAAGACCTCAGTGACGCCCTTCGAGTCCTCCTCATCCTCCACCGCTACCTCCGCCTGATCGCGGTTGACGTTGGCCGATCCTCTCGTCGACAAGGACGAGGGGTGCACGCAGTTTGTTTCACCGGCAACCTCAAAGCATGTCTCAAGTCCATCGTGAGAGTTAACTCGATCATATTAATAATAGATGGCATATATTAAGTGAGAATAATATTGCTTATGTAGATGGCATGCTAATAATGATGATCTGAAAGTTCTATCAACCACTAATGACATTTATAGGCTTATGATAAAGTTCTAAATCGTATCAACTGAGACGTTGATAGTCCATATTAAGGTTATGGATCTAACATAAGTTTCACCCGAAAAAATACATATATAGATGGATAGCCGACAAATCTCTTTCCGAGACGTTTGAAGACTGTGGGGCTCTATAGTATCTTGGTTGGTAACTAGAATGGATTCTCTCACAACTTATTGTCAAATCACTGTCCGCTATATATATATATATATATATATATATATAAGGTTTTTCTTTGTCCTTATTTAAATATGTTTTCAGTTATTATTATGTTGATGCTTTAGGTTTCGGACTATTTTAGATGATATCATCTGTGTTCCCCAATGATCGCGGCGGGGCGCGTGCGGAAAGGCCCGCACGTGCCGGGAGTCTCGCCGTTGAGTCCGGGAGGAGGGCAGTCAAAGATGTAGTGGAGGTGCCCACACGTGTTGGTCAACCGAATACCAAGCTATATGGCATCCACGAAACAGAAAAGCTTACTGCATTCCAGTTCTTCTGCAGCTTCTTCCTCCTGAGCTCTCCTTTTTCTGGGCTTTGCCAAGTCACTATGACCAGTTATGTTAATGCCAGCCAGCAATGGCCTTCACCAAGTCGAGATATCTCATCTTCTACCTGCTTCATCTTGGTCTTCTGTTCAGCTTTGCTTCCTTCTGCAGTAGAGCTTGGTGATCTCTTTCCTTTAAATACACAAGTTAACATTTAACATCTCATAAGAATATGATCATATATACCAAAAACTTGAATTGGAGAAGAAGAAATGAAAAAAAGCAGATGAAGATAAAAGGAAAGAACAATATTATGCTGTTAGGCAATTGAATATAGGATGCAATTAATCAGCAATATCAGATCATGATATAAGAAATTATGCAAAGGGTAGAATACCACATTTAAAATCCCTCGAGTGTGATCAATCTTCAGCACTAGAGTTCACCAAGTTACATGAAACCATAAACATTGGGAAAAAAGAAGTTCATTGATCGATTTTGTAGCAATTTGTAAGGTGAGCAGACATCTAAAGTAGCACTCTTACCATTCTACAATTCGATCTAAAGAGCACAGATCATCAACATAAAGTCCAACAAAAATAATGAAAACCAATGCTTTGTAGGCTCAACTTACTTCCAGTCGCGGCAAAGTTGTACATGGTGGAAGTGTCATCAAAATTGTTTCTACATATGTATACTGATTACATTATTCACTAAGCAGATGTTACAGGAATCTAAAACGTTGATTACAAGGACAAACCTCGGAAAGAGTATGCTTACAAGTATACTGGTAAAAAAACATCTCAAAATCTAACTCAGTGATGAAATACAGCCTTCTGCAGTCACATCATTTTAAAGGCACTTTAACAAGACAAGATACCAATGATGACAAATGAAAGTGAACATTCAAAATGGTGAATGTTAATTCGTTCATCATGTTAGGAGTAAAATCGAGGATGTTGCCATCCAAAATGATCCTTCTCTATCACACTGTCATGATCTATCTCGCTGTGCACAAGATAATTCTTATTTTTAGCACATATCATAATACATCAAGGCCCAATCCCAGTGTAGGTCTAACCCAAGGAAACCCTGATCTATGTTTTGACTCGATTGAAACATATCTACTATGCAAGTTAGCTAGTTCTATAAGCTTTAAACTTCATGGTTGTTTTAAGAGGTGGATTAGCATTCACCT